TGGTAAGTTGAAAAATCCTCTTGAACCCAAATTAATTTTATTATTATTAACATTTTTACTTTTTTTTTTTTTTTGGTGCAATTATTACTTATTCTGGTATACTACCCAATGTGTTTGGGCACTCCCTTGTCACTGGCAGTGGTTTTGCTGATGGTCCATAAGTGGTTGCTACATCACAAAGGTGCTTTGTCTGTGATGGAGAGTGACTTCTTGTGGTGGTGTTGCACTGAAAATGCGTCTCTGACTTTTTCTCATGTTATTAGTGTAGGGGGAACACAAGAATTCCTCAAATCTGCTATCTGCTACTTAAAGTGGGTTTTCTTTTGCTGTTAAGAGGGCAGAAGTTAACTGAAAGTGGAGGAGAAGGGCTGACATAATAACACACTTAATCCTCAAAATCCCAACCAGATATTTTAAGGAGAATCTCATCCTCCAAACTCCAGAGGTATCAAACAGTCCCATTACTGGGCATCAGCTGCCCCTGTGCAGCCCAGCACTCACTTTAGCCCTGAACAAACCCTGTAATTTGATATTCAGTGGCAGACCTTCAAGCTAATGACCTTTTCTTCGATTTGAGGGGATGAGGGGGGGGTTGGTCAGCTGTGGGTGCAGCTGCTCCTCAGTCACACTTTACACTGGGTAATGCAATTTGGGGCTGACACCTGAGATACTTCAAAAGGGTGATGGAAGGAGGTGCTGGGGGCTGCCCACCCCAAGGGCTTCCTGGAGGGGTGCTGGGTTTGGGGGCTTTAAGCCCTGACTTCATTTGGAAACAGTGAACTTTTAATTGGTGGTTATTTAACAGACAGGGACATCCTTAATTATTGTACAAACCTCTGGAAAACAGCTTATTTTGGCAAGGGGTTTGCTTTCCAGATCCCAAACTTTGTAAAAATGCTTTGTCTGCTGAGCCTTGCCCTGGGATTCCAGTGCTGGAGGTCCAGGGGTCCCCAGTGGTCCTACTCTTGCACAGGCTCCCTTTGGAGCATCCCTGAGCTCCCCTTGGGAGCATCTTCCCTCCCCTTGGTGAGGGTGATGCTGCTCCCAGGAGCTTCAGCAGCTCGAAGCAGGGCTGGGGGGTGCAATCCAGGCAGCTTTGGGTTTCCACCTCCCCAAAGCATCATTCCAGCCCTGGCTGTGGATCTCAGCCCTGCTTTGCTTTCTGCAGCAAGTGAAGCTGGAGGAGTTTGGGAGGCCGAAGATCGACGGGGAGCTGAAGGTGCGCTCCATAGTCAACCACACCAAGCAGGACAGGTGAGTGAGCAACAGCACTCAGAAATATTCCCAAACTAAATGTGCCTTTGTTTGGTGACTCCCCTTGAGCTCATTTATTTAATTATTGCCTGGACTTTCACTGACAGAACCCACCATCAACGTGAAAGTACAGCAGGGTCCAAGCGTTGAGCGGCGCTGGCTGGAAAGCTCTGCAGAGCTTTCCAAATCTTTCCCCTTGGATGGGGACTTTGATGAGGTGTCTAACTGGATTGCTTGTTTATTTGCTTGCTTTGGGCAGGTATTTATTTTTGTTTGATAAAGTGGTGATCGTCTGCAAAAGGAAAGGATACAATTACGAGCTGAAAGAAATTATTGAGCTGCTCTTCCACAAGATGACTGATGACCCCATGAATAACAAGGACATTAAGAAGGTAGGTGGACCAAGGATTGGCTCTGCTGGAGAGCATTTTGGAACTGTTTCAGGGTAGTATGTTCCCATTAGCCTTTTAAAGTAGAAACAGTGCTTGCAAAAAAAGCTGGAAAATAAATGCTCATCTTTCAAGGCAGCCTTACAGAGCTTTGGGAAATGTTTATTAATGTGGGGCTGGGCTGGATCCTTGACCTCTCTGTTCTTGCAAAACAGCCCTGAGGAGGCTGGGATGGTTGGAGTGAGGAGGGAGGAAGCTGCTCCCTGCTTTCTGGCCCACCATCAGGGAGCAAACGTCAGACAGGGGAGGAAGAGGAGGGCAGGGAGGGAGGGAAGGTCCACCCGGATGCTCTCGCTCCCATGAGCTGTGGGGTGGAGGAGCCTGGAAAGGCAACCTGAGCATTGCACACCAGCCTGCCAAAACTGGCACTCGAAGCACTGAAGGAACATCATTTTGCTGGTGGTTTGAGGCTCAGTCTGCAGGGCTAAGGAAAACCTCCCAGCTATCGCTTTAGCAGAGCCCCATTAGCTTAATCCACTTACATGCCGTGGGAAGAGGTATTGTATAGATGGGATAAAGGGAAATTGGGGTAAGAATAGCCAGTTTTGCCACTTGGCTGCTGAAGAAATGCTGCTAGCTTTGTGTGTTAATGAAATGTGTTTCCACTTTGCTCTCCTATGCTTTCTAGTCTCACGGAAAAATGGTAAGCAAAGCACCCACTTCTCTCTCGTGTGTTTCTGTGCAGTGTTGTAATGAGACAGGCTGAGCATATGTGTGGTGGGCAGGTCAGATGTTCCTCCTGGGCTGTCAGTAGCTGTCAGTGAGAGATATAATGGCTGGGGAGGCTCCAGTGGAGCAGAAAAATCTGGGTTCTCTCATCTGCCACCACGAAATCCTGTTTGGTCCAAGTGCGCAGCGCCAAGCCAGTTCAGGCATCATTAGCTGTGATGTGTTCTTCCTCCTTCCCTGCTGTTGCCTGTGCAAGGTTCAGCAGAAGGGGCAGGGGCAGGCACTCAGCAGTTACTGAGGTGCCTGCATGGAAGTG